TTGTTTTTTTTTTTTGTACATACAAAGAAGTGAACAAACTCACTCAAAACATGACCCCAATCATTCTTAACATTTAAGGGTCTGTTGGTTTATTAATTATTCAATCATACTCAATTCATACTCTAATATAATTAAACTTTAACTTAACCACACTATCCTCAATATTATTAATATAACTAAATAATATCAACCAATCATTAATACACAACGCATCAATTTCAATTCACTATTTATGCACTCACATAATTTTAACTAACCATCACTTCGTAGCATATCTCTATTATTTTTTATATCAAATCAACTTCAACTGTTATTTGAAATATTATTTTAATACAAACTCAAAATTTCACTGATAACTATATCATATCAACTTTTTATAAATTAACCCTAATTAACTAAACAAACGTGTTTTGAGGGGATATATTTGTATCGAACACATCATAAGTATTTTTTTTATTAGCATAAAAAGTAGGATTTTGAAGAAGCATGGGCTGAATTTTATCTTCCCAATACATTGGATAGGATATATATGTCAAATGAGTGTAAACTATAACATGGCATTTGGTAGGACAGGTAAACAAACATGATAAACATAGACTGGCCCATACATTTATAACAACAGAATATGGGCTCTTTTGGGGACCATTCTTTTTCATTAATAATATTGAACCCTTTTATCTTATCTCCTCTTTTTTCTTTAACTTTTCCTTTTTCCTTGTATCCATCACATGAATTCATTGTGAGTGTGCTTGTCAATGTTTATGAAAAAAGGTTGGGAAATAAATTAAACCATCAAAATTTTATATGTAAGACAATCATATATATATATATATTTTTTAACAAAAATTACAGATTTTTATGCTCAAATGTCATACTTTATAAAATAATTAAACATATATAAGACATTCGCAATTTCACACTTTAAGCATGCGCTATTTGTTCGAAAAGTGTGATCGGTCGACCGACGAACCTAATCGTTGGGCAAAAATTAGTGAAGAATTTATGTGAACTATATTTTATTAAAAGTGCTTTTATTTTATTAATTTTAACCCAATCAAATATTTCCGAAAATACAAGGATTTATCCAAAAAAGCCTCCATAAAAGAAATTGAAAAAAAAAATGCAAATAAAAATTATAGTAGAATATTAAATATTTTATTTTATTATATTACCTTCTTGTGAACCTTGTACTGCTGTCTGTGAAATATACAACTCCACTATTCTGATCAATACCCAGAGCATTGGTGAACCCAAACGGAACTCCATCAACTGCTGTTGATACTGGGCTGGCCTGTCCACCATTTGGGCCCACGACAAGGAGGCCCAAATAAGCGTCCGCAATGTAGAGCTCACCCGTCTTCTTGTAGAAGCCCAGGCCTAATGGGCGTCCACAAATGTGTTCAAGTTGAGTGTCATCTTTCGGGCCTATGCAACCATCCCTGCTTGAAGAATAAATTTTAGAAGAAACACACACACACACACACATACAAAAGATGAAATATTAGTCATTTGTAATAATGAAATCATTTAAATTTTGATTTTTTTATTTATATATGCATGGAAAATATATAAAATGGAGTTGCAAAATATTAAATAGACAGCCAAATTTATTTTTCATCCAATATTTACTTTATCATTACTTCTAAATATTGATGAGACAAAATATATGCTTATATGATTATGCTAAAAAAAATAGTTGTCAATTTAGAGCCGGTAAACAAACACTACGGCTATTATATGCTGATACGCATTAAATCAACTACTCATAACACATTAAATTTGACATTTAATAATATTATGACTAATATTATATAAATTTGGGAGATTCTACAGTGCCGCTACGGAACCATTGAAGTTTGTAACCGTCAGATCAACTATTCATGAAGGTTACATGATGATCTAACGATTACAAATCCCAACGGAATTGTTCCGTAACGGGACTATAGCATTTCTTATAAATTTGTTATGTGTTTAACTTTTAAGAAAAAAAAACACAATATATGATATATTTTAATGTTTTAAAATTAATGATTAAACATTATATATGTCTTAATATATATATAAGAGCATTCTTTCATATTTTAATAGAAAAAGGGATATTTTATGATCAAGTAAATACTATTTTTCTTAAATATCTTATTATATGTTGTAATTATTGAAATAAAAAGAAGAGGCGTGCAATTCCAACACACACACAAAGAGATGAGGCATGGATAACAGTGTGATTAAATTAAAATTTTTAATTCTCAATTTTAGAAATTTCAATAACTATAATAACAATAATAATATAATGTCTATCTATTATTAACAATTGGTAAGCTAAATGATAATTATTTATATAAATATATATCTCTAACGATATAAGAAATATACATGCATTGTTGCATGCATATCAACCGCTGAAATAATCCACTCTTATTATTTATCATCATCATCATCATAATCGTATATGTTCATGATAAAATAAGCACGCATACATACATATAATCACATTCTTCCAAAAAAATTAAAATAAAAAAACAAATTTAATACTTCATAAGTACTATATATATTGTAAAACATTAATTATTTGCTAACCTTTTAGAAGATGTCACGGCAAAATCGACCCACCGGAGTTCTTCGGCCCGCCACCGGATTATCCTCCCGTCCGAAACTCCGGTGTAGGGCCCACCGCCGACGATGTCGAAAGCCATGCTC